TCTAGCAAACTCCCCGCTAACCACCCGACCGAGTGAGCACTCAAACAAATATCTGTCCTACATTCATTCGTGAGGGGACTCTTAATGGATTTCAAACCATATCAACTGGTCTTCTGCAAATAAGGCATATCTTCTCTAGGCACCATTTGTGAAAGAATACCTTGATTTCCATGTCTTCCCGCTACCTTATCGCCTACTTTGATTTCCTTCCCGTTTCTGTGAAATAGATACACGAATCATTTCTAGATTCTCACTCGAACCCCCTTCCCTGATTTCTGGATCCATCTCACATCAATAACTCGACCCTTACCCCGCCTATAGGTATAGGTAGTTTGAGACAGGTTTCTTTTAAAGTAGATACCAGAATGCCAAGTATGGCTCGTAATAATCTATCTTTGGGGGCATACGCTGATTCTTTCACCATCTGAGGCGTTAATTTACCTACTCGCCCATCTCCACCCACGATCCCAGCATCACAATTCCTTCCATCCATTTTTGTCTCAATTCTGAAGTAAGCGGGCTTCTTTCTAGATGTGGGATTTCGTTAGTGATTTTTTCAGGTCTCTAGCTTGTCACATGAGTTTGAATTTCATATTTCCGTATCCGTGTATGTGGAAAGAAGTATAAATATCTTCATATACCAGACGCTCGCTAATTAGAACTGCATCTTCAGAATTGTAACCTTCCCATGGCATATAAGCTACAAATACGGTTTTTACCAACACAAGTTCGCCACTAAAGCAGCACCGTCTGCTAACATTTGCCCTTTTTTAATGCATTTACCCTGGGGAACCTGGGATTTTTGCTGCATACAAGTCTTTTTGTTAGAACGTTGATACAGAACTAATGGAATTCCGAGAGTATACCCATTGCCCAAAAAAAGGATCTTGTTCGGTATAAATGATCTTTCCCCCGTGTTCGGCTATAGTGGCAACCCCTGAATCTCGAGCCACATGGCGTTCCAACCGAGTTCAAGGGAGAAAGAGAAGTGAAAGAAGGGTCCGGGTCAGGAGTCAGTTGCAAGAGGAGAAAGATCCATTTAAGAAGAAATAGGTTCATTCATCCTTCTTACAGGCAGGCAGGAGAGGAATGATGAAAACCAGACGAAGAGGAAAAGCAAAATGCAGAGGAAAGGGGCCAAGCTGTGAGACCAACCTCGTTTACAATAAGCTCAGAGTCGTATAAGGGGAAGGAGAATTCAATCAAATAGCTTGACCTTGTTCAAGAGTTCCGGTTCAGGTGATTGAGCTGCAAAGAAAGGAATTGACTCTCCCTTCTTTCATTCTCTATCGGTTAAGGTTCAGGAGTAAAGGTTTGGGATTGAATATTCATTGATTCTAGAACGAACTATAAAGGATGGGTTCGTTCAATCAGGTTCGTTCAGTAGTTCAGTCTAATTCTTCTTTCGTCTTCACTCTCATTCATCTTCAGTCTTTCAATTCTCTTATCTTTTCTTTACTCAGCAGCCAGCTAATGAATTGACTCGCCTGTCAAGGAAAAGGAGAATGAATCGATAGTCTTTCCTTTCTTTCTTCATTCAATCAATTCTTTTATAAGCAGTTAATCTAATGAATTTCTTCTTCTTCTTTCATTCTCACTATAAACACATAGGAATAAGGTTGAGTCTTGAAAAACAGCTAATAATTTACTCGACTGTAAATAAGGGGTTCACTATTTGACGGTCTCTTCTCTCTCCCGAATTTCTTGAACTGTAAAAAAGGGAATAAATAGAGGTTCAGTCTCATTCCTCTCTTTCCTTCCTAATTACCCAATCTGGTTCTGGTTCTGGTTCAGTCGCTTCTCTTTCTCTTCGTTTACAGTTACAGTTAAAGAAGAATAAATAGGGAATATCGGTTCAGCTGGCTGAATGAGTAAGTAGCGAGAGGATCAAGATCAGTTCAATCANTCAGTTCAATCAAAGAGCTACTGAATGAACACCTATTTACCTTGTGATGAAAGAATAACCGAACAAGAACGGAACAAGGAGTTAAGGAGAATGAAGAGTAAAGGGGCGAAGCCGAGGTGAAGGATTTATTATTCTTTTCTTTCCTGTAAAGGTGAAGGAGAAAGAAGAAATAGGAGTAGCTCGACAGTAAAGGTTCCGGGAAGGGAGGTTCAGGCAGAAGAAGAAAATGAAGGTGAATGAGCTGATCTTTCTTTCATTTGTTTCGTCTCATTCATCTTGACTTCCTTAATGCAATAACTGAACACTGCTTACTTAGTATAGTTATATTCCCATTATTCATCTTTCTTCGTCTTTCCTTCTAGATCACTCTCATTAAGCTTGATTTCCTCGTTCCTTCCTGTAATTCATCTTGTCTTGCTTTCTCTTTGTTTACTTTGAATAAATAGGTGTAGGTCAGGTAAGAATTCACGCCACTTCGATGTGTTCGATTATTAAGTACGGCTGATACCATTTCGATGTGTTCGATTCTTTCGAACAAGAGAGGTTTGATGTTTTTGAATTCATTGTATTAATTCCACTTCCTACTCGCAGTATGCTCTTTATGATCTCGGCTCATGATTCAATTTCCATGTATTTAGCTATTGAGCCTCAAAGTTTATGTTTTTATGTGATGGCAGCATCCAAAAGAAAGTTTGAATTTTCCACGGAAGCCGGCTCGAAATATTTGATCTTAGGTGCATTTTCCTCTGGAATCTTACTGTTTGGGTACGATCGGACAACTACCGATATCTCAAAATCTCCTTTCTGAGAATATTGGTTGTGATATTGATCTTACAGGGGGGAACAAAATCAAAGTACATATATACAACGTCAGACCCTCTATGTAGTTGTGAGATAGGGCGATCGATCTACTTGTCCATAGCCCTGGGGCAGTGTCTTAATCTTCTACGTGCGAAATCTGAGGGACTAGTTCCTATGGAGATTACCCTTGGTCTAATTCCACGCCTTATGACGAAAGGGCAGTCAGCGTGGCGTAAAGTGAAGATTGAGGGAAGTATAGCAAAATTCCCTTCAGGGGTATTCTGAAGGTGTAATCTAGGCAACGAAAAAGGGGCCCCATACTGAAACTAGAGGAGCGAAGACGCTTTACCTCGTGTAAAGAAGGTGAAGGAGAGTCAATTCATTCAATCAAAACCCTATATTACCGAGTTCAAGAATCAATAGGAGAGAAGCAACTTGACTGTAAAGGAGAGGAGCGACCAGTTGGTTCACCAAACCCCGACCCAACGTCCCACGTTCTCTAGGTCCGAAGGGATCCAGTACCAAACTACCGATTCCTCCCGGACTTAGTGGACACCCTCCACTTTTCACCAGTTAGAGAGGCCCTCTTTAATACATTAAGAAAATATGTTCACAGGGGTCAGAAAGACTCGGTCAAAGGAACTTAAACCACCTACGTGCTAGTAAATGAAAACCACCTCGACCGGATCAGAGTAAACAAGAATGTCGATCAGGCCCCTTGCCTTGAAAGAATTCACGCCACCAGCTTTCCCAAAATCAGGGGAGATTCGCTGCTTACTGTTCACGGAAACATCCGACCGACCTATACGAGAGTCAAGTCGTCCACGTATCTTTCTGATCTCCTTTCCTTCTATTTATCTGAGATTTTTGGGACTCATTCAAGGTGAAAAATGAATGGGGTTGATGGTGTTGGCTAAAAAAGGGGGAGAGAGGAGTAGGCTCACTTCTGCATTTTTGTTTAGGTTATCGAGATTCTCGTTCCAGTCGAAAGATTGTAGTGGGTGGAACATCTTTCACAATCTCTGGAGAGATAGTTCACTAATAGACCAAGGGATAAGTAATTTGACTCATTCACATCCATTCAGATCATTCATCTTTGGAATCCATATTATGCAAGGAGACATTGCTTTTGCTAATTCTAATTTTAGGGTGATATCAAATCGGTCTATTTCCGGCATCATATCCATAGCGCATTCATCTTAGAAGCTCCAGCCTCAAGGTCACGGTCGATATCGACACTATCATCCACCACTATCATCAATCAATAATCAAACCCTTAGGCTTGTTATCTAGGAACTTGTTCAGAAATACCTGTAATGAAAGGAAGATAGGAGTTTGTCGCTAGGTATTTGACCAAATAGGATGGATCGTCCAGTTCCTATAAAACCTATCACTAAAATACCCCCGGGGATAGGGCTAAGCGGAGGGAAAAGGGTTTTCCATGAGATGGGAAATTCAAACAAACTATTAGCCACACACGAGGTTTGTGAATAAGTGATTGTCTGATAATGAGCAAGGAATGTCTGTCTTTCTGCTAAAGATGAATGTCCACTAAGTCTCGTAAGTCAATTACTCCCGGTTGTTCAATCATTTGATAACCAGCCAGAGTCATTCTTTGAGAAATTCTCAATATGAGTCAGAATCAATAGAATTTGATCAATCCTTTTTTCTGTCATTAAGGTGGTGAACCAAGAATTTTCTTTCTTTCTCATCAATCCAATAACCGTTCACATTTTGTCTTATCAATGAATAATATATCTCTTTACTTGTATGACTTAGATGTCTCGTATTTCTCGAAAAAGGAATTCTATTGATGGGATTTGGTATGATACTTATGAGTGAGATTGATACTCAAATCTTTCTTCTTCGAACGTATTGATTTGACCCCATAAGCGGGACCGCCACCCCATAGCATGTTGCCACCAGAAGCAGAACCCCCTCCCCCTACCCCTGCCCTATTTCTTCTAGAGAATCTCCTAATTGATCTAGAGCAACTAGAAAGAGATTCTTTAACCAGAAAGAATGAAGTGAAGATATGGGATACCTATCCTTTTCGCAACTCAATAAAGATTTGACCTTTTCTCACTCTGTCTGTAACTCACTATAGGCTCGAGAAACAAAGAGAAGATGTGAACGAACAAGATATACAGCAAGAAGAAGAAGGAAAAGGATTGAATGAATAGAGGAACTCCCGAACATTTGGCGATCTCAGATGTGTTGATATCGATGGTGACTCATTATTTATTTCGATGAATCATTTCTTGGGACAGAAGAAGATTATGTAAACACTGACTCGAAATCTCACTTATTCCATTATGGAAGACACACACAATTTTTTGTGAAGAATGAGCCATGATATATCTGATCCATGCATAATCTCATGAAAAATGGATACGAATTAATTAGTGGCAGCTACTTAGTATCTGCAATAGGTCTGAAAAAGTCTCTAAACTCAAAATGGTGAGATATTTGTACCCTGTCGAAGTAAGGAACCATGGCGTATATGTTTGGAATAGATTCCTTTACAAATTGAGAGAGTTGAAAAAGCACTATCTCGTTGAAAGATTCTATACATGTGTCATTGATCAAGGCATTTCTTTAGATAAAGACTCGTTTCGTTTTTTCCTCTTTTTGGATGGTAAATCTTTCTCAGAACATGGAGTGTGAATCAAAGCCCCATCTTTGAATTGAAATTGAGATACTGATGCAAGTTCTTCCCCTCTGAATAAGATAGATCCATATCTGAAAGAGGTTGACAATAAGTTCTTTCAAAATTGACTATTTGTCCCTCTGTTAGGTTAGAGGTGTTCCAGAAATGTCTGCGATCGAGTAAATAGCTCGACGAACGAATGGATCAGATCGAATTGGAAAATGGAAAGATTTGTACAAGTTATACCTTTCCACTTTGTGTAAAATCGTTAGGTATGAATATGTTAGATACCTGTGACTCTATTCGTGAAATAGTATCTCTCTCCCAGCATGTTTTTTTTACCTCCGCGGAAAGAAAAGATTTTGTTGTGAATGAACAAGATATTGAGGAATTGTCCATACGTCACAAATCAGAATTATTGATACGGGCCTTTTCCACATAATCAACATACATAAAAAGAAAGGGAATCTTTTGTTACAATAGAAGCAGACCGAAGTGATGTGGATTATTCAAGAATCGAAGTAGAGTTGCTTTATAAAAAGAAGATATCAATGAACTTCTATGAAATGGTTTCACGGGATTTAGCCAATTGTCTTGATCGTGGGATATCATTGAGAAATAGGAGAGTCTTATCAAAGGATTTTCTGCAATTCTTTCTAGTATGGAATGAGTAAATCATCCACTTTGGTATCTTATTGAAGAAAAATGGTTATATTGTTCTTGATCAAGAATTTCTCTTTTTGGGAAGTCTCATGATCATCCAATAATCAGGGTTTCCATTTTGTCAAATTCAAACTCTTTTCAGACCTCTTGATTCTAACAATTGATTCTAGAGTTGATCATTCGGACCTTTCAATTCATAGATGTGGATCTCGAACCTATTAATGGGGATATTCCCGAAACTCACAAAGAAAAAAGGAAGTGAGTTAGAAGTAGAAGAAACTTGGACAAAAAGAAAGGAAGTGACTTAGACAAATCTTTTTTCTCGATAACCTAAGACCAATCCATCGAACATAGATTAATATGTAATCGATCGAACACTACTTGAAAATGGCTCTTCTACTCAGAAATGAAATGTTCCTGGAAATTCTTGCTCCCATTGGACCATTGGTATCTATATGCTGCATTAGAATCCCAATTCATGGATCTCTCGGTTCGAGAAAGAAAAGAGGAAGAGAATCAAACCATTTCTTCTGACCCTTTTTATTGATAAATGTTGGTTGATCGTATATTTCAATATTAAGAGTCTCATTTCCTATTTGGTCCCTTTTCATTCCATATTCTAAGTTGGGATCGGATCTATTCATTAACAAAGAACCGATTCAATACTTATGTACTTATATTGGATTTGAATCTGATTTCGGATCAATATAGATTGATTGACTGCCTCCATTATGTTATTGCTAGAAAATACCACTTTTTTTTTTTGTTTTGGATCTTCCAAATCATTCCTGGGGGAGGGCCGTACCCATTTTTGTCTGATCCTTCGATTCATTCTCTTCGTAAAAAAGAGGAGGTAGAACCAAGAAATCCTTTTCGATTCATCCCTTTCATACCTCATGAAAGAATTCTTTTTTATCCAATCTGTAGGAATCAAGGAAAATCCCTTATGATACGCCAGATCCGGCTCGGTTATTGATAGAGTGAATAGATCTTCCATTTCTTTCAATCTCTCTTCTGATTCAAAATCGTGGTGTAAGGTGTATCCCCTCCAGTTCCGATCATGGAATAGATGAAATAAATAAATGATGAATTTATGTTCAAGAATGAAATCTGATTGTAACTATCCATATCTAGTTAATCCTTCGGAACCATATCACACGGATCTGATTCAATAGGATGAATTGAGACGTTATTTTGAAAGTAATTATCTTGAATATATTAACTTAACTAACTATTTTTTTCTTTTCCCATAGCCTGGAAGGAAGGGACAAAAGATCTTCTTCTTTCTTCAACAATTTCTCATCTCTAGTGAACCTCTCAATAGGATTCGAACCCATATTTAGTTCTTACCATCTGTCAGAGAAAAAAGAACGAATGGATCTTGTAGGATAACCAAGAAATTCTTCAATTTCTTCCCCGGAATCGGATGATTATTCATCTGCTTCTCACGTTCCGTGAATAGCCGGGACATTGAGCAATATCCAGAAAAGCATTTAGGGAATCGGTCTGATTCTATCTCTGTTCGTTCTGTTTGAAGAAAGGAAGGATCCCAAAGAATCGATCTTTCTTTTAGTTGTTGAATCTCTCTTTGATTGAGAAATGTGTGATATTCGAATCCTCATTACTAATGGAATCGAAATGATCTCTAGATTGATCATCAGATCCTTTCAATTGGCTAGAATCCGTTACTTGAACGAAACTAGATCTTGTGGAATCATATTGAATATTTGACAAGACATTCCATACCTTGCTAAAAAACCGATCCTTACCAACCACACATTGTCTAACCAAATCCAATTCTCTCTCGATATCTTCCTCAAAAAATCCGATTTGTGCAGATTCTTCCCCAACTAATGAAGAGATCTTGGCGGAATTGCCACATATGAAATTGAGCACAATTTGGCAAAGAAATAGCCCACTTCTTTCTCGAGAAGAGATGGGAAAGAAAGATGCTCAATATCATTTGATTGAATAGTTGACCCAGCTCCTTGTTGTTTGAAGAAGCTCAATTGGTATTTTTTCACGAAAAGCAAGAGATAACAAATCCAGCCTTTCACTAAGATTTCGAATAGCTGTCCCGAATTCAAGTTGATTATCTTTTGCCTCTTCCTCGGAGAAAGACGATTAAAGAATTTCCAATCATGGTCCTTGCGGATCTGATAATCCATATAATATACAAAAAGAAACTTTAGATATTTGATATCTTTCTCTTTGAATGAGATCTCAATTCCAAGCGACGGTTTCATTAGATATATTATAAGAGGAATCCCTCTTCTTTTTTCCGATCCAGTTCCTCCACCACCGCGAACCCCAGTTAGATTCAGGCATGATACTCTTTTAAGTTATTGGGAGAACCCAAGTACTCTCTTTCGGATCCAGGAAAGAGCTCTAAGAGATCTTTTTTCCTTTTTTTAGGAAGATACAGGAGCGAAACAATCAACCTATTGATATTAGAAGAGCCAAAATCTTCTTCGTCTCATTTCTGGGTCCAATGAAATTCATAGGTAGAGGAAGAAACCCTGTCAAATAGAGATTTTTTCGACCATCTTTCGATTGTTAATACGATATATAAGGAAGGACCGCTACTACAAATAGTACTACACCCTCCCTTGATCGTGAAATATCGATTGCTTGTTGAACCCTGTGAATTGCGTGAAAATAGTATACTCAAAATTCGGGAGTCTAAGAGTTTTATAAAACGGGATTGATGGAACACTTATCGTTATCGAGCCAAAGATATTATAAAGATAGTTGTAGATACCTTTACATCAGTGTCTAGACTTATCGAGAAGTGTGTAACGTCAGGAATAAGGTAGGGGAAACCACAGCAACTCTACTNAAAAATGTGAATGAAAGATCCCACTGAATTGGGGCCATGAATCTAAGAAATAGTGAGAATGATTGATCTCTCTCAATCAATTAGAAAATCCAGGATTGGAATTGATGTCCTTTCATTGAGGCCTCCTAAATTGCATTGATTTATCCTAAACTAAAGATTGAATTTAAATTGGAATTTGGTTATTCACCATGTACAAGGATCCCCGCTAAGCATCCATGGCTGAATGGTTAAAGCGCCCAACTCATAATTGGCTAATTCGTAGGTTCAATTCCTACTGNTTCGTAGTAATAGAGAATTACTAATAATAGGTTTTCTTTGTCTTTTATAGGTATGGTAAAGTGTAGGTTACTTTTACTAATAATAGGTTTTCTTTGTCTTTTATAGGTATGGTTTTTAGTATGCTACACTTTACCATACCTATAAAAGACAAAGAAAACCTATTATTAGTAATTCTCTATTACTACGAAAGATCTCATACTACACTCATACTATCAATAACTTATAACTACCAAATATAGCCACAGTATTNAGGTAGTCCTACCCTAAGACCTTACCCTCATACCGGTTTTTTTGTAGTAATAGAGAGTTAATCTAATAAGAACAAAGAACTAAGAACACTAAGAGTTAATCTAATAAGAACAAAGAACTAAGAACACTAAGAGTTAATCAAATAATATTTTTTTAAGAAGGATAGCTGTTGTGTGTGTTCTTAGTTCTTTGTTCTTATTAGATTAACTCTTAGTGTTCTTAGTTCTTTGTTCTTATTAGATTAACTCTCTATTACTACAAAAAAACCGGTATGAGGGTAAGGTCTTAGGGTAGGACTACCTCATGATAAGGTAAGGTCTTAGGGTAGGACTACCTCATGATAAGGTAAGGTCTTAGGGTAGGATAGGGTAAGTTAGATATGTCTAACTGATGATAAGGTCAGGTAGTCATGATAAGGTCCGGTATTCATGATAAGGTAAGGTGGGATAAGATAGGATATAGCAAGACTTAAACACATCTCTAGCCTAAGCAAAGATATTAAAGAGAGTTGTGGATCCCTTCACATCTGTGTCTAGACGTATGGAGAAGTGTTTTATTGAGGGGAAGTAAGGTATAAGGTCCGGTATTCATGATAAGGTCAGGTACCAAATATCTGATAAGGCAAGACTTCATATTCCCGTGTTAAACACTTATCGTTATCGAGCCAAAGATATTATAAAGATAGTTGTAGATACCTTTACATCAGTGTCTAGACTTATCGAGAAGTGTGTAACGTCAGGAATAAGGTAGGGGAAACCACAGCAACTCTACTCCGCCCGACCAGCAGGATGTAACGATGAGCATATGAATACTGTGGCTATATTTGGTAGTTATAAGTTATTGATAGTATGAGTGTAGTATGAGATCTTTCGTAGTAATAGAGAATTACTAATAATAGGTTTTCTTTGTCTTTTATAGGTATGGTAAAGTGTAGGTTACTTTTACTAATAATAGGTTTTCTTTGTCTTTTATAGGTATGGTTTTTAGTATGCTACTTTACAAGTGTTCAGGATTATATGCAAATGGAATCAACTTATATATGGATATATGACCGACTTCATAAGAACAGGAGGCGTGTTACTTTCAGAGTTCCTTCAGATAAGAGAAATTGTAGGAAGACAGAGATCTCTACCTTCGTCAATTTCATCCATCAGAAGGATGCCTTTATAGCAATGAAAGTAGTTGAAAAAATGCTGAATTATAATGCTCCTATATACACTGTCCACGACAACTTTATAACAACTGTTGAGAAAAGCACATTTATTCCACTGGCTTATCTTGAAGTCTTTTATAGCTTGGGCCCTCCACTTTCAATCATTAACAAGTTCATCTATATAAATGTTATTGAAAATCTTAAATGTGAAAAATCATTTGATTATGAAAAGAATGTTATTTCCAAGGAATATCTTACTGAAATTTTAATGAAAAATATTCCTGAGAATATAAGTAAGAAGAAACAGACTAATTGGCATAATAAGATAAATGAAAAAAAGTAGCATACTAAAAACCATACCTATAAAAGACAAAGAAAACCTATACTCACTACTACACATAAAAATACTTATTAACAAATCATATTATTAGGAATTCTCTATTACTACCAAAAGATACTCCAGTACACACCTGTACACACCAGTCCACTCCAGTACACACCAGGACACACCAGTACACTCCATTCTGAAAAGGAGCCCAACGACCAAATATAAACTTAATCACAACATGATGTATCAAAAATACAAAAATCAATGGGTTCTAGCCTCATTGAATTCTAAGCAAAAGAATTCTAAAGAGCTAGAGATATTTTTTAATCAGTTTTATGCCTGTTTGCAGGAGAATAATAAATTCACTGGGGAAGAGGTTAAGAAGACCAAATCTCAATTGTATAAACTGTCAGTATTGAATCTTCTCGAAGAATATAAAGAGAAGTTTCCTTTAACTGAAATTGAATTACGTCAGCTACAACAGAAAATAGAAGATAACAGTATGAAGTTCGACGAGAGTTCAATATATACAGCTGTTCCTAACTTGATTAAAATCTTAATACAGAAAGATAAATTGAGTGCAAAGGATTATATAATTCATAAAAAAATGTGAATGAAAGATCCCACTGAATTGGGGCCATGAATCTAAGAAATAGTGAGAATGATTGATCTCTCTCAATCAATTAGAAAATCCAGGATTGGAATTGATGTCCTTTCATTGAGGCCTCCTAAATTGCATTGATTTATCCTAAACTAAAGATTGAATTTAAATTGGAATTTGGTTATTCACCATGTACAAGGATCCCCGCTAAGCATCCATGGCTGAATGGTTAAAGCGCCCAACTCATAATTGGCGAATTCGTAGGTAAGATCATTACGCTTCAACCAGGTTATTCTATTCCACCTCTTAGAAAGAATGGCGATACATTTATACAAATTATCTCATACTATTCTTTCGGAGCACGAGTTTTGGGTTGTATGTTGTTGAAAGGGGGATCGTAAGGACAACTAAGAGTTTTTGTACAAGATTAGAATGGAATCAAAAAAAGAAGAAATAGAAAAAGAAGAAGAATTGAGAATAAAGAACGAAAACGGACATGACACAGCAAGTTGCTAGTACCTTCCTTCGGAAAACCCGTAATACGCCCTGAGGAATTCCTTCCACGAGTTTGATTGGATCTAAGCTTCTTCCCTGTACAAGAGATGCTATGTACCTCCTTCCTATGTTACAAAAAAATCTTTAACCCATAAATGCCTGTTCGCATCGCAAGAGGGCTAAGTCAATTTCTTCAAGCAGGCCCCCTTTTTCAAAGTGATCGATGGCAGAATGGTACGAACAAATCCAATGACTTGGATTTGGTAGTTCTCCATTTTCTTTTCTCTTTACCCCTTTTGATATCCTTATAAATGGGGGTGCACCTACAGATGGGCAGGGGCCGACGTCCCACTCTCTTATGCAGAATTTATTAGCTTAGTTGAGTTGGGTGGATCGTGCAATAAGCCTCTCTCGACCCTCCGTTTCTCATGTTCGTAAACTCTCTCTCATCTTACAGTGAAATCCGGTTCAGTAGTTCAGTTCGTAAACTCTCTCTCATCTTGAGTGAAAGAATAGTGAATGGGCCTGGCCGAGGTTCAGGCTGATTCTTCTTTTCCTCCAGTTTACCGAGTGAAAGAGTGAAAGCAGTCCAGTGGCTCGACCAGTAATCAATGGCGCAAACTCAAAAATTCCTGGTTTCCCGATAGAACCCCATTTTGACCAAGTTGTTGCGAAACCAGCAAAAATCAGCGGCTTTACGCACAGCTTGCTCATAGTGCAGGTCCCACTTGTATATTGTATTTGGCCGAAGAAGCATCGGACAGGTTGGAGTTATTACCTTCTTGGGACTCTATAGACTAAGATCTTCTTTCATTATATGGGCAATACCGATCGACTTTAATAGATCATATGGATGTAGAAAAAGCTTCGGATTTGAATGAATTGGAAACATCTCTTTTCCATTTCTATTTACCCAGTTCATATCTTTCTTTCGTGTGTTCCTGGGAGGAATTCTATCTTGGGATACCACCTAAATAACAGCAGAGGGTCAAATAGGTCGGGAAGAAAGAGTCTGAGGTCGGGTCGGACGACATACATCTTGGTTGGTTTCACCACCACTAGAGATTGGACATATATTCAATCTTTATTATGTGGGAAAGAGATTATTATTTCATTTCAATAGCTGCAAGACCAAAACAGGGTGCAAAAAAGCGAAAGCCCAGATTTGCACTTCCTCCCAGATACACAGCTTACATACCCCGCTCAACATTCTTGTAAAACAATTGAATCTAGGGTCTGGAGGCAAATTAGCCATTCAATCTTGTAAACTAATCGAGACCGCAATTGGAAAAAGAGAGACGAACGGGGAGGAATAACCAATCGATGAAGGAACATGAAACCATTCTATTTCAATAGAGGTACGAGAAAGGGTTGGGGGCAATGAAGTAGGTGAAGTGGTTGGATTTTGCGAGCTGTTCCAACCACGGCTGGATGTGATTCCAAGAGCCGAACGAGAATGAATACCACACATTAGAGTCAAGACCAGGCTCCCTAATAGAATGTTTAACCGATCCATTTCGAATCGACCAAATTGGTACGGAAGTTTGAACATGGGAAAACCAGAGAAAACACAACTGATTTGAATAACCCGGTGACCTACCAATTGTAGAAGTAGGATCTTTGGCAAGCAATAAGCACTTAAATAATACAATTCGAGTGTACCATCTTCTTACTCATTTCGAGGAAAGGGTGCGGGAGGAAAAGGAAACAAGGAGGGATCCGAATCGGACCTAAATGGGAATGACATGAAAAGTCTTTTTCAAAACCTAGCATTAAGGGCGTTACGACAATATACAAGAGGAATGGAGAAAAAATCGTGATTGGTGTGGAGGGGAAGATCCATTTATGATATAGTGCAAGAAAGAGTCGTCTCATTTCCTGACTTCTTCGTTCTTTCAAATTCATTCACTTCAAGGCTGGTTCTGAACGCCACGTAACATCATCTTCAACCAACCTCCACCGCCTTGTCTTATCCCGCCCTTTCAATGCGTCCACTAAAGAATTGATTCTACACTAAATAGCTACAACTATACGCTTACTAAAAGACTGACTTAGGTTAGCAGCGTGAAACTAAGAAAGAGAGATGTGCCTAAAGCGGCATGCAAGCAAACAGTGCACGCTAAGAGAAAAGGGGAGAGATGCTCAAAATTACCATCACAATCAAGCCGCCCCTACCCTATATCTCAAACTCTAAAAGGGCCCATCACTTCGTTCGTACCTTCTTGGCTTAGGCTTCCAACTGAACTGACTTTATGGCCTTACGCCGCTAGCAGAAGCTAAGCACTTGAAAAGCGCGCTAAGAAAGGTTGCTTCTTTCTGTCGGCCTTTCTGTGCAAGAGTCCACCAGTAGCGTAGGAGAGGGTTACTGTAGAAGAGTCTTCCCGTTTTTACGTAAGCTTTTTATTACCAGTCAAGTAGTACAACAGCAGTATCTCATCTTATAACGCGGCGGGTCGCCTTTTGAATGAAATAGAAGAAACTCTTATCGAGATAAAAACAAGAGAGTTGGAGTAGGTGAGTTAGTCCTCACTGACCTGAGCAATTTTGATCACCTAGCGGCCATTGATTTGGTAGGTAACATCGCCAAAGCGTATCATCAAATTTGACTACGAAGGAAGACACTCGAAGTGAGAGGGCACCGTATTGTGCAACGAGAATTGGCCCTCTATCATTGGGCGAGGAAAGAGACCCCTTCCTTTTTGGGGGATCAAGTTCCCAGCCCGAGATGCGTTCGTTGACAAAACCGCCGTAGGAATGGAGACCTTTCCCTCGAGCGGAGGCGAACTGATCAACGAGAAAGAGGCCCTACTCACTGCAAACGAATACACCACAGATCGAAACTCATGCCTCTCTTGCATCAAGCGACCCCCACCACTACGTAGTGATTATATCAATCATGTACGGGGGCCCTCCATTCTGATTGGTATATCATGAAAAAATCAAGCCATTTGCACTAGGCGCACTGCGCTTTCCCTTGCCCAGATGTTCTTCTCAGTCTTGGAAAGGTGACCCGCCGAAGACAGGAGCCCTTTAACATGTTTATGAAGACCTCTTAGAGAAAGGGGGTTCGATCAGTAAAGGGGACTACTTTGCCTCCCGAGAAGAAAAAGAGCCCCGCTGGACGACTGATCCCGTTGATTATATAACTGGGAGGGAACGTGTCACATTAGAGGTGAACGATCAAAGATGTCCTCTAATTACCACGATGAGGCTGGTCCCCCTTTGATTTTAGTAGACTAAGCTATGAATATAAATGAAGAAATGAATGCCGGGCTCTTTCTTTCACTGCTAACCCCAATCAGTTTCAACATCCTGATACTTGTACTTTCGTCGAGCTCCGAGCTTGTGGTCCTCCTTTTAATGTGGGTTCCATGGGATGAATCTGTCAAGTCAAGGTCAATGTACGTAGCAGCAAGGATGGTGCATCACCTATTTCTCGTTCTTGCTCGGGAGCCAAAACGAAAACGCCGGCTACCTACTGTACTGGACCTTCGACCAGGTATTCTACCCTTCTCGAATCGGAACCAACCACCCCACTCTAATAATAGGAGAAAGGAAAACGCTCGAGCAGTTGAGCGACCAGCAACTTCCATACACAGAGATAGATTCATTCTTCGTACCTAGTCAAACTTCACAAGCCTTCGCGGGTTGGGCAGAAGTCTTCTTTGGTAAGACGGAATTTGACAAAGAAAAGAGAGTGCTCGACCGGAACAACGGCCAACAAAGACCCTAATTACATATAGCTCCTCCCCTTCCCTTATTTAAGGCTTTAATAACCGGATGGCGACTGGAAAGAAAGACGACCTCACCTTATCGTAGATGGTGTCAGTGAGAGCCACTTTAGTATCCCCCGTTGACCTTCTTTTGTGGATAGAATCTTCAATGAGTAGAAAGAAGCAACCTGACTAATAAAGGTGCTTGTTGAGTAAGGCTGGCTTTCGAGCCCAAGCCCCTTGTTTGTATAGGTTGGGTGCTTGAGCGCATCTTTCTCAAATGGAGGGAGAAAGGCTTTCCTTGAGTTTGAAATCAATAAGGGGTTAGCGAGGCCGTTTTCTTGTGGGAGTGCTAACACGCACCCTTACGTTTTCTTCGCTTGCTCTGCAGTACGAGCCTCATACAGAGCCGCGCCCCTTGAATATGATGAGAAGAAGAGGGGCCGCCCTCTTTTCTTTTCTGCATCAATCCTCCCACCTATTTTTCTTTTTTGGGGTGTATAGCTCAGTTGGTAGAGCATTGGGCTTTTAACCTAATGGTCGCAGGTTCAAGTCCTGCTATACCCAAACCTACCTTACACAAGACTCTTTTTAAGGATGTGTAATAGCGTTCAAAGATCACTTTTTGGCCTTTAGATTCACTTCTCTATTTGGGCGAGATCTTAGTAGATGAATAGTTGTTAGAGTAGAGAGGCACCGAAGGTGATAGAAAAAAGCAAATCTTCATCCTATCCCTTTTTCCTCAAGCTCGAACTCATAATAGTATAAGGGAAAGACAGTCGATCATGTAGTTAACAACCAGTATTTACAGCAATTTCACCTTTCAGATGTAAATAACCAACCCTAATCCTCAATGGTATACTCCTCCTCCCTATCCTGTTAGAGTTTTGCCTGAATTCTATTAATCTTTTT